TTTTTTGTCTATTTTTTATGGGTTATACATGTGTAATGTTGGCAAAAAAAAATTATTTATTGCACTCTTCACACCTCTTCTCTCACTAGTCTTCGTATCTCTTCTCTTTAATTTAGTATTTGAATTTTATTTCTTATTCTATTTTAAAATGTGTTCACGTCCTGATTCTGTTCGTTTTGTGTTATATTACAATGGTAGGAAGGTAGAAGGTCGATGAGGTGTCATGTTCGAAGGTGAAAAAATGCCGACACGCATCCAACGCAATGCAACCAATATGAGCACATAGGTGCCCCCCGATGGCTTCCCACGCTTGGTCTTTATTTTCCTGACATGCTCCGTATTCCACACTCGCTGTGAAATATGAGCACGCTGCGTCCTCTTACGAAGGACGTCACATCTGTACGGCCCAGGTATGATGTACATGCTGGGATCGGTAGGCTCTACATCCGATACAGAACCCGATGAAGATGATGAATCAGTCATTACCCTCAACTATATCATATAAAACAACATTGAAATTAATCACATGTAATGCCCCATTTTATTTACAAATTAATTAAGCAATGCCATAATTTATTATCACAAAAATTAAGCATACAGTCATTTATTTTACTGGAATCAAAATTAATGAAATAATGTTAATACGTAGTACAGTCATTTATTTGTAATTAAATAATAATAAAGCATCGGACAAAAATAATACCATACTTACATAATACTTAACCCTAGGTCACTAATAACTTCATAAATATGTACTAATCAGCACACCTAACTGACTACAAAATTATGAATACACTCCCGCATTAATAACATCATACATACAAAATTTACGAAGTCGCTATCACTATCTTCTAAATCACTAATTAATACGCTAAACCCTAATGCATAATTAAATATTAATAATAATAACTACGTAACAAAAAAAGGAAAGTATCATTACAACATTCATAGCATGGCACAAAATTTCTAAGTGACTATCCTAATGTTCTAAGTCTCTAATATACGAACAATCCTAACATGTATTACTAACTAGCACTGTAATTTAAACGTATACATAGGAGATATTACGAACTTACCTAAGTTGGCAGAGCTTTGCTACGAACCGTAGTTAGAGAGAGGTGAATGAGTGAGGAGTGAAATGGTGAAATGGGGGAATATATAGATGCACCATGAGACGCCCCTTTTGGGCGTCGCATGTGACGCCTCCTTGGGGCGTCTTCCCTTCATGAGAGATGCCTCACTGGGGCGTCACAGTGTGCAATATATCTGTAATTATTCCCCAAACAGCAATAAATGCATAATAATTTAATTAAAATACAATAATTAAATTTTGTTGCCGTGTAATGTTACATGAAAAATACTATTTGGTCCTACACAAACATAAAAGGAGAGAAAATATTTGAAGAAAGAGAAAATAAAAATTTGTGGATCTCATTTCTCTTTGTTTGTGTAAAAAAACAAGTTTTCATCACGTTAGATAATAGATACATTTCTCACTTTTTTTTTTTGGAGGTTACAAGAAATTGAACACAACACCCTACACTACACTCACTCCTAACACACACACCTCACACCACTAAGCTAACCCTAGTGGTGCATACATTTCTCACTTTTTATACCACTTGTCTCTGTCGCATGATGGGAAATTGCTCCTGTAACAGGACCTTTGACAAACCTTTGATTTAAATACTATCCAACTGTTCAAAAATAACAATCTAAGTAAAATGATTAAACTGGTTGGCAATGTAACCTGCCTCAATATTTTTATAAGATGGAGTAGTTCACGAAATCACTTATTGAAATTTTATATTATGCACGTAATGCACCTAAAATTTTACATAGTTGGAGATCATTTTGTACATTTTAAAATGGGGAATATGTTTTTCATGTTGTTATAAATAACAAATAAAAAAGTGTATTTCATGCGACATGAGAAATATATTTTTCTATTAAAATATCATAAAATCAACAAATAATATCGTAGAATAAAAGTAATTAAGAATGTATCAACTTCACTAAATAAATTTGTTAGAGAATTAAGTATCATGCATATTTTAATTATAAAATCTCAAATTTAAAAAGTTTAAATAAAAATCTTAAAATTAACATGAAAAAAGTGTATATCCTTTAAAGGAACAAACTTAGATCTTTTTAAGATAAAGGTAAATAGATACAAAGAGGTGATGATTTTAAATAGGACTCACACCTCTTTGTATCTATTTTTCTCTTAAAATAACCTAAGTTTATATTTCTTAAAAGGACATGTTACACACTTTCCCAATTAACATATATGTATACATATATTTTAAGAGAAAAGATATGTTTACAATTTTTTTTATAAATTACACTAAATATGACCGGTCATACACTCTTGATTGAAGTATGACCGGTCATACTTAGTGTAATTTGTAAGGATTTGTAAACAAAAAATTTGTAAACATAATTTTTTCCATATTTTAAACATAAATTAACACATTTAAAAAAATTGACGTTTGTATTAAATTTAAATCCCATATATAAGTAAGTACTTTTCTTTCTGAAACGGGGAAATATATCTGCAAATATTTATGTCACTTTTGGTGTCATCTCCCAAAGTCTCGTACATGAGTGAAGCTTCACCTGCACATGTCCCAAGCTAAACTATAGGATGCATGATTGCATGGCGATGCTTTTTTTTTTTTTTTTTTTTTAGGAAAACGTCTGATCTATGTTTTTCTAACCAGAGTTATACAAATTACCATTATTAAAATTTGGTTAGTTATTTAACTAAGTCGGCAGGTTGATTATTTCTCTTGTTATATACAAACCACATAATCAACTTCTTTTACACACAAATGAGAGACATAAGAATATAAATGAGAGAAAATGAGAAATTAAAAAACTGAATTTTACTTAATATTATCACTTGATGATCGCAAAACTATTATCAAATTAATCCAAGGGTAAAAAACCATAGCTTGTTTCATGAAAAATAATACTTGAGCACAATGCCAGAATGTGAGAAATGTATGCACAACTTAGAAGTGCTTAGGGGAAAAAAAAAGTTTTAGCTGACTCAATTTTTTATCATGTGATTTATACAAAAAGTATTTTTTTAATTTTATTTGAAAAAAAAAAAAGGCTTAGCATAGGAGAAAATTTTCAATTCCTTTTTACCTATGTTTTTTTTATATTTCTCCTTAAGTCCTAAAAAAAATTTTTTTTTTAATAAAAGAAAGTTCGAATATATTGAAGTTTTTCTCTTACAATATATGACAGCATCTATTTCTCCCAGTAAATTATTGGGCTATGGAAGTTAGAATTTTGCGCCAAAATTGTAATTGTTGCCTGTAATGGAAAAATTACAGTTAAGAGTGAGGATGATGAGGGTCCACCATGTATAAATATGCCCCACGCTTGTAACAAAACAGGCTGGCTCAAACCCAGAGGCCAGAGGTGGTCCGGTTTTGAAGAAAGCATGCCCGGTTTGGTTATTTGGGGGGTCTCAATCTCTCAAGTTATACCAATGTAGCAAAAACTGCTAACCAAGTCAGGAGGTAGAAAAAAAAAATAGAGACAAGAAAAGGAAAAGGAATAGGCACCACCATCACCACCCCATGTAAAGCAACCACTGCATCATCTAAAGCTAAAAAGATATATTTCCATTCTTTTGTTTTTCATTGGATTTTCTGTCCCATGTGCAGTCTACTAAAGTCTACTGATTTCCAAAAATTGCCACAGGTCATTTTTCATTGGTAGTTGTGACATGAAAACACCAGTGCTTGTTGCTTCAAGTTCAATATATATATATGTATATATATGTGCATGTAAAACTAGTATCACAGGCAAGTTTCAAAATGGGGCTGGATGTTTCAGTACTCTCACTGTTTGCTTGCGCTTGTGTAGTGTCCAGAGTGTGTTAAGGAAAAAAGTGTTTTGGGATTGCGTTCCCTCCTACATGCTACGTGATTTTTTTAATGGGGAGGAGTGATTCTGGTCCTTATTAAGGATACGGGAGATATAGGAGAGGGATAGATAAGTAAGAGTTTCTTGTGAGTAGAGTGGTCCAAAGTTGCAGCTAATGCCCCACTGCATGCACTCCTGTATAAGTATGCAAAAACCACTCACTCAATTTCTCCCTCAGGCTCTCAGCTTTAGGTGCTCACATAAAAGGGAACATAAAGAGTAGCTGGTCGATGAAGCATCTGCAACCTCATTAAACAATCTTAACTAATTTGAGTACAAGCTGTCCAAAGGTGGGTCTCAGTCTGCTATGGTGTCCTGCATCAGTGTCCAATGCACCTCTCTCTCTCTACTTAATTGTTAATAGTTAGATGAAAAGGACGCCGACTTTTTCTTTTGGTAAAGGATAAAGAAGAGTTATTATGACCCCAAATGCTGCATGTGAAACCAGGTCAAAAACAAAGCAGGTATAAATATAGAGCTATAGGCAATTATTCATTGCCGTGACTTCCTAACGACCACTTAGACTGTTCAGAAAGAATATCAAATGCAAGCCCGTGTCGCTTTTAATTGATGTTATTTCTACTTCCTGCTAAGACTCTGGAACCAAGGTACCAGCTTAATAGGAAGACTTGTCAAATTCGTTTCAAATATTCTCATCATTTTTTAATCAATAAAATGAACAGGCAGTACTACCTTCTTTTCCGGCATGCATCCTATCAAGATTACCTCAGATAAAATGGTTTGCCAACTTTTTCTCTATTTATATGGTATTACCCTGCAATTTTACAGTCATACAGATCTTTGTCCCTGAAAAATACGATCCACAGCTAATACTTTGAAGAAAGCCAAATCCATGAGAAAGTAATCATGCATCTATCAAGATTATCTCAGATAAAATGGTTAGTCATCCGGTTCTTGGTTCATGAAAAATATGATTCGCAGCTGATTCTTTAAAAACTTCCAACATATATTGAGAAAGCAATCATACATCTCTCCTATTCATTTAAATTATTTCAAGAAAAAAAAGATCCCACATCTTGCTTGGCAGTACCGAAATTGAGCAAAAAGATTGTTCTATACTATAAAGTATAAACCAGCATACAATTCGACGGCATCAATAAATTAATCAGATCCACCTGCAAGTCTCAACATTTACCATCCCTAAAGAGACCTCAATCAGATTACATTAGAGCCGCATGGATCTAATCCCTTGAAAATGTACAGAAGATATAACTCACTGAAGACACTAAATCTAGTAAGAAAAATTATTCTTAGATAAGCCTTTAACACTGAAGAAAAAGAATGAATGTATTTTATTCTGATAACACATTTCGCCAGGACAGGGCCACCCCAATAACAATAACCAACCTAAATCTTCCTAACATCTTGAACTTGTAGGCGGCCTGTGTGTGCAAGCAGCATTTCATGGATTTCTTCAGCTGAAGGACGTTCGTTTGGATTTTCTTCCACACACCTATGAAACAAATCAACAAGGAATTTCAACATGTCTACCTCAGCATCTGATTTTCCCAGCTCTTCACCAGATTGAATCATTGTGGGTTCATTCATTGAACTCAATACTTCCAGTTCATCAGTTAATTGTGGTCGTTTACTCATCTGTATAAATCATAGTAGAAAAATTTATTAAAACATGAAGATTGGTGTTGTACATGAACCAAATAGTTCAAGCACTGCCTGTGGAGTTCGAAAAGTGCAGTCTATTTGTAAGAACAAAAAGACGTCCATACCTGAAGACTATCATGGACGTGTGAATCAGGTACTCCAAAATATGGAATTTGCAGAGTCAACATCTCCAGAAGCAAGCACCCAAACGACCAAATATCAGCTTCCTGTCACAAGATAAAGAAAGATAAATCACAACCCAAGACAACAATACTTGGTCACAGAGCAAAATGAATTATTTTCCCTATATACCTATTCTTAATTATAGTCATGAAGGAATGAACCTAATTACTCATTGTGTAGATATGACCTCATAAATTCAATGCATTGACAACATATGCACTTGCGTCTCTAACCAAAACAAAAAGGGAAAAAGAAATGGAACCTAAAAAAAAGATCATACGGTTTCAGGAAATAAACTGAACATTGTCCTAAGCAGCAGGACAACAAAATTATTGTATTACTATTGATGCTTCTCTTTATCCAAATGCAATTCGTGATCTCTTCCATATTATAGATAAGATGATATGTCCATCGAAATTAGTGTCCTATGATACACATTCTAAATGATGCAAACGGAACACAAGAACAAAATGGAAATCAAATTTAAAAAATACAAAATAAGAATTGGAACATGCATATTATCCAAAGTTATCAAATGCGGATTGCGGCATGTCGCGGCCAACCCCGAAAAACACTATAGCGGGTTGCAGATTCGGAAATAGCGGAATAGATATATGACAAAAAGAAATATTTTTTAAAGGCAAAGATAACATATTTTATAGAGAAACACAGATAGACTAAAAAACACTTAAAATTTTGAGTAAATACTCTTTTTGGTCCCTAACAAAAAACATGATCACCACTTTAGTCCCTTACCAAAAAAAATTAGTCTCGAAGTCCTTAAGAAATTCAAAGTGGACCCATTTAGTTGAAATCGTGGTCCCTCACAAATTCAAAAAAGACTCGTATTAGTCCCTCAAAAGAACTAAAATGGGTCTACTTTGAATTTTACAGGGACCAACCGACTAATTTTTTTTTGTAAAGGACTAAAGTGAAGACCGTGTTTTGTGTTTTTTGTTAGGGACCAAAAATAATATTTACTCTAAAAATTTTCTGTTACACATTTAAATTTAAGATAAAATTGACATTTTGCCGTATGATAGCAATATGACCGCGATTTGGCCGCAAATGCGATCTCAATGGCCGCTATTGCGTTCCAGTGCGGCGTGGTGCGGTTTCTTGCGACGAGGCACTGCAACGCCCGTTCGGCGCGGCTCGCGGCGTTATTGCGACGCAATTAACTACTATGATATTATCTATAAACTCTAAATGAGAAGCAAACATGGCCGCATGCAAGGTCGTTTAGGCAAACATATTCATCATAGTATACAATGATAAAATCCTTTTAACACAATTCTCTTAATTTCCCAGCATAATAAGCTAGAACAAACAGCACACAAATTTTCACATTATATAATATGGGATAAGATATTATGCCAATATTTTTTATGCCTATTTCACCTACTTCTCTCCACACCGTTACATTACAATCTCAAGCAACGATGGAGATTTACATGGTCAAACAAACCCTTACCCTTTTGCCTCTTTCTCTCTCCCATCACCTTCACAATTGGTTGAGATTGTAATCTAACGATGTGAAGAGAAGTAGGTAAAGAAGGCATAAAAAGTAGGCATAATATCTTATCCCATATAATATTAATATAAGATAATGCTTTCCTTGCCATATACGCCAGAATTTCTGTTAGAAATATGAAAAAAATCATTTTAACCCAAAAGCTTAAGTTGTTAAGTAAATGTCAAATTATTGGTTTTATATTATATTTCTCTAACAAACCCCTCACACTAGAGCCCATTGAGCCTGAAGGATGGTGGACGAACAATGCACAAGCCCCACCTACCTGTGCTAAAAAACTTCACAATTTTTAATTATTTATTAATAAAATGGGGACGGTAAGGATCGACCTCATAACCACTTAGCCACGAAGGCTTTGATAACATGTAAAGAACCATGTCAACCCAAAAGCATAAACTCTTAGGTGAAAAGCACATTAATGGTTTTATAATATTTTCTCTAACAAAGTGCATGACTTTTTTTCAGGAGGTATCTTTGAATTGCCGGATTGCAAGACTGTACAGCTGGCATATATTTATAGAACAAGTGATCTATTCTCTCATGAATAATTTCTTTTCTATTCTGACAAGTCAAAATATATTAAAAGAGTAACCACAATAATCAGACTTAAGCCATATACAGTATAATGAATTACATAAATCTTGTTAACAGCCAAGGCCAGCCAAAACAAACTAGTCAAACTTGAAATTCTCAAGGGAATCTAAGACCTGAACTCTAATTCCATTCTTTTTAGGTTTATCAAAGTTTAGATCACTCCCTATTATCATAGGTAATAACTAGAAAAATGGGCACACAGCTGCGCACATAAATGGGTGGAGGTAAATGGAGAAGTGCAATAATTGGGACAGTAAAAAAGAAAAACGTGTTGGAAAAAAGTCTGGAAATTGCAGAAAGAAAGTTAAGAACCATTAATCTAAAATATATTTTACTTTAACATCACAGAGAACTACTTCCCATTACTTATATTAATAGTAAATTTATACGAACACAATGTCCTTTTCCAACATCACAGAGATATCAAAGGACCCAGAAACTAGCATTAAGCTTTTGAAAATAAAAAGCCAACTCCTGATATAATTCATAATCATATATTTCAAACCCAAAATAACACTGGATATCATCTAAGATGATCAAAGATATCACTAATCGGATAAGGATCTTACCACTCCATATGCGGTTTTTTCATACATAGTCTGCATAACCTCTGGAGCCATCCACCGAGGTGTTCCAACACATACACAAGGAGGAGGTGTTCCCACATGAGCAATACAGCATGCATGTAAAGGTGATCTAAGTGGTACTGCACTATCAAAATCACAGAGCTTCACAGTGGGAGTTCCATCGTCTCTCTTCCTATCCAAATCAAACAGAATGTTTTCACTCTTTATGTCACGATGAATTATGTGCTTCGAGTGCAGCTCCGACAAAGCACACGAGACATCTCTGGCAATACACAAAGCCAACTCAACAGGAACATGCTTTTCACCAGCTTCTGACAGATTCTCTAGATATTTCTGTGAGAAAAAGAAGTGGGTGTTTAATAAAACAACCAAAAATATTTTAGCAATAACAAAGAAATGATATATTAAATCTTACTTTTAAGGAGCCTCCTTCCACATACTCCATTAAAATTGCAGATCTTAACACATGATGCTCAGATTTACCATCAGCTGAGAGAGTCCATTCGCTAGATATTTGGTGTCCATACATTTCCACTATGCAGGGGTGTTTAAAAGCACCAAGAATTCTAACTTCTCCCAAACAATTATATTCAAAAAATTTAACTTCGTCTGCTGAACTCCCCAGCACTTTCAAAGTACGCACCTACAACATCACTCAAGATACATACGAAGGTATCATTATATTATATCCAAATAATCAGAACAACAATTTAAGAAATGTGGACTAATCATGAAGACATCAAGATCAAATCAAATCCTACATCAGAATTTAGTCAATGCCATCAATGCAAGGGAGGATGAGTGGAATTATTAGCATCAAAGCAATAAAAGCTTAGTGGAGTTGATATTATCAATGTAATAATAATTTAGTGGGTTTATTTTGTCTTTTCCCCAATGTGATGACCATTGATGGATAATTAAATACCTTTGCTGCAGCCTCAACTGATCCAAATTTGCACCGAACTAAAGTAGTCGAAGCTTTTTTCACAAGTTCCTCACAAGCAGAGAGAGATGGAAAGGAATAATCAGGACCAAGACTTCCTCTAGATGAAAGATGGGATTTGGTTCGAGTAAGAGGTATGTACCTGGAGTACCAAGAAAGTCATCAGATTCTAAATAAAGCCCATATAATTTCACAAAAGTTACAGAACATATACAAGTTTTCAGGCAGTGGAAAAATTCTTAGTGTTAACAAAGAAATTTCACTTAACGCTAAGAATTCTGCCACTGATTGCCAAACAAGTGCCATTTTGGGTCTAAATTTTATTCATCAGTGCAAATGTGATGCTGACCTTCATAATTATGCTTGAACACTTTATCCAAACATGGATTAAGTGTTAGGGGAAAATAATATGATATTCAAAGTACAAATACTTGTTTAATTTTATACCAGGTTAGTTACCATATTACACAGATATTTGGATTAAAATTGGGGCCATGTTTACTGGTTTTGGATTAGAAATTTAAAACCATAAGCAATATTCTTTAAATTGTATAATATAATATGAGATCCAACATTCAGAAAAGAATCCAAGTTCTAGAATGCCAAATGATTGACGATTATTTAAAATGTACTAAAATTATAATAGGAATAGGACTAATACCAAAAGCTACATTTCAACAAGAAATCAAGAATAACTAAACTCCATCAACATATAAAATTGATCTTAAATATGACCAATTCAAGTGAAAGCAATGTAAATATTAAAGACTAAATTGATCTTAAATATAACCAATTCAAGTGAAAGCAATGTAAATAAGAAAGACTATACGATAATACCAAGCCACACTGCCTTTTTGCAAGAAGAAAAGGAGTTGCACATCCATTTATGACTTAGGGTGTGTTTGGTACAAGCGTATCAAAAAGATTACTGATAAACTTTCTTTGGTAAACGTCAATTACCATGTTTAGTAGAGAAGTAACAAAAACCAATTCCCGGATATCCAAGGTTTATCGATAATTTGATTTACAAAGAAAAGTCACTATTCAGATTACCAGAAATAATATGGTAATTCAGAATTCCAAGGAAAGGGAAAGCACAACAACAATTTTTGAGACAAAAATACCCCAACACACATCAAAACCTAGACCCAATCTATCAATTACAAAAGTAAAAATAGTTTGGGGTTATTTTTGTAAAATAACCTCATATTCCAAGTCATAATTCGTTCTAAACCAAACATGGAATCAGTAATCTTTATCCAATATTTCCGGTAATATTTTGACGAACCAAACACTTTTTTCCTAATATTTCGAGTAAACTCAATTTCTAGTGTATTCCCAATAATCGTGATTCCTAGACCCAATCTATCAATTACAAAAGTAAAAATAGTTTGAGGTTATTTTTGTAAAATAACCTCATATTCCAAGTGATAATTCGTTCTAAACCAAACATGGAATCAGTAATCTTTATCCAATATTCCCGGTAATATTTTGACGAACCAAACACTTTTTTCCTAATATTTCGAGTAAACTCAATTTCTAGTGTATTCCCAATAATCGTGATTCCTGGATACCAAAAAATTTCTCTTGTACCAAACACACTCTTAAGTGCCTGTTTAAGAGGTCTTATTCTTAGCTTCTCTTCTCCTTAAAAGCAGCTTAGCCAAACATTATTTTATAAAAGCTCTTGTCATAAAAAGAGCTTTTTTTATAAAGAGGAAAAAAGCTAAAAGCTCCTAGGAGGAGCTCTTTTTAAGATGAATGACAGCTTTTTGGAGTTCTCATTTATTTTTCAACTATACCCTTATTCTAAACTTTTATTTATAAATTTTATTGTTTACCCTAATAAAAAATCATTTCATCTCTCTCCTTTCAAAACCCTAAAAACAACTTCATACAATTATCAAACAACTTTTAGCTTTATTTTTTAAGATCTTATTTTTTACTATAGCTTAAAAGTAGCTTTTAGCTTAAAAATGATGTGCCAAATAGACTCTTATAGGAGGTACATACCTGCAAAAGTATTCAAGATCTTTCTCCTCTCTTATATCGTGAGGTCGGCAAGCATCAACCAGCATTCGAACCCATGTAGCACCCTTTTTAATCAGATTGACATTCCAGGCATGTGGTGAAAAATCCAGGTAGCCCCTGACAAGCTCACAAGGTACTGGCGGTTCCATGTGATCACATAAATACTGTAAAACAGAATAACATTCAATAATCATAACAATAAGGGGCAAAAACTGAAAAGTTACAGCACAAAACACACACACACACACAATTATAGTATGAATATAGCAACAATGATCACCTTAAAAAGCAGAGCTCTATGTCTACATACACCATATTGCACAGAGCCAATAGGAACAATAATTGAACTTCTCCTTTTCTTTATAGAACCAAGAGATTTTTCAGAGATCTTAGGAAGAGTGATATCTTCTATGGTGTTTACAACTGGTTCAGTGGAAGCACTTATACTGGTGCTGTTTCCAGCTGAGCATGTACAGACAAAAGGCTTATTATAGTTCGAACCAGATACAAATTTCCGTGTCCTTTCTACAATAGCACCTCTATCACTGCCACCAAAATGATCCGATACAAAGAGTGCAAGCAGTGATGCTATCTGCAAGTTATCAACTGCAGCCTGGTTTCCCCGTCTGTTTAAACCATTTAACTGCTTCAAATTATAAACCAATGCCTGAGCAGAGAGCGTAACAGCATCCAACTCTTCATCGCTTTTTCTGAAAAAGAACAAAGGGAATCCAATCACATTTTTAAAATAATGAACCACAAAAAAAAACCACTAACATATACCACCATTACTGATAATAATAATAATAATAATAACAATAAACCTGTCTAACAGGATGACTTCACGAGAAGCGAGACACTGATTTCGCTCATAACTCTCAAGAGGCATAAATGGCCGATCACGTCCTGCATCATAAAAGCCATCTGATAGATGGTCCTCAATGCCACAAAATGAGATCTTACTGTACTTGCAAGACAATAATGAGTTATCACCAATTGGTTTTCTAGACTTGCATGGTTTGGGATTATCAAGAACCCGATTTGAATGCCTCTTTGGTTTAGAAATACACTTCAAATTTTCCGAACAAGACCCTTCATCTTGTTCACTTTGCCCATTCTGTAAGGAGCATAAGGATGCATCTTTTTCATCTTTACTTTCAGCAGTGCAGCAATCATTTTGAAGAAACTGTTTTTCCATAATTACTTCATCATCGTTGACATTATCAATCAAATTGTCGTTTACTGCTTCTTTGGAGAATATTCTTTTATTATTTTCTGATACAGATTCTGTGCAACCTTTAGAAGCAAGGCTACCCAATTTTCCTGGTTCAGGAATTCTGGGAATCTTCTTGCTCAACTGGTCATGATCTACACCTTTCCACTTCCTGCTGTTGTTCAAGCGTTCTTGGCGAGCTTTCTGCTGTAAATAATGCCGTCGCTTCCACCGTTTACCTGACTTCCAGGCTGAAAAACATCTACTGCTAGATGAGGAGCTCGTCAATATGCCTGATGAGGTGCATTGAGGACCTGCAAAAGAATTCATCAAAGACTGTAGGTTCAGCTCCGAACACATGAACTTAATCATTCATAATGCAAAAGGGAAGAGCATACACAAATTGAGGGGGAACAAACCAAAGATGGAAAGGCATTACAGGCCTCACCATGAGAAAGGATTTCATCATTTTCCTGTAAACTGCTTTCATAGACATCCATTTCAACAGAAGAACTGCTACAATCATCTTGGCATCTACCTCCATCATTTCCTTCCATATTACAGCATATCCATGCAGGAATTTGAAAAAAGCCGAGCAGCTTATTGTACTTGAACAATAAATATACAAACAAATATGTTAAAAGCTATTTAATCATATGAAAATCATAAGAATTTTTTTTCAAAAATCCAAATCATTAAATTATACAGATAGAACTTAATAAAGAAGTAGTGTAAAATATAGATAAATGTTCACTCCCACATGCACCCAGAATCATTATAGTTTGTTTTACAGGCAACCTACAGCTACTAAATAAATACCTTGGATGCACAGAGGCACCTTCAAAGCAGTCCCTCCATGTCAAAAACTGTCAGATGCCACCAAATTAAATGTTGCATATCAGACACTAGCACACACAATCAATCATGTTGGGAATGTACTCTTGATAAAAAATTTCAGACAGACTAATATTTTAGACCATAAAGCTGATTTAACAAATCAAAATTTTAAACTTACGGACTTATAAGATGTAATTTAAAACAACTAGCATAGACATGGAAAAATTTCATGCAAAGCATCGAGAGAGTAAGAATATATGACTCGCATTATAAGGTGTTGAATAAATAACCAACATAAAATGATATCGAGTCATATATTGTGTGTGTGTGTGTGTGTGTGTGTGTGTGTGTGTGTGTGTGTGTGTGTGTGTGTGTGTGTGTGTGTGTGTGTGTATAGGGGTGTGTGTGTGTGTGTGTATAAAGGTAAACAAAATAAATTCAGTATATAAACATACTAAGCAAGGTCAGAAACAGCAAAAGCACCATTTGAGAAGAACATAGATATCGAAAAGAACAGCATTATTGGTGAATTACCCTGATTTAACAAATCATAGATAAGTACCTGAAGATTTAAGCTCTGAAGTCTATGCATCGACCCAAGTTTAAGGGATCCTAATGAAGTCAACCTATTATTTGACAGGTCCAAACTCTCCAACCTTGACAGAGAGGTCATAGCTGACGGTAGTTCCACCAACTTATTATTTGCAACTTTCATGGATATTAAGCCATTCAAACAACTAATCTCTGAGGGCAATGTCTTTATTTTATTGAATGAAAGATCAAGATACTCCAGATTCTTTAAGCATCCAATTTCCGGAGGAAGGTATCTAGAGTTTAAACACACACAAAAATGCAAAAATGAAGTGAGTAGAACTAAATAAACCCTGAAGACAAGGTAAAGCACTGTGCAACCTAATGCTCTACCAAAACATATTCTTTGTAACAAAGTCAACAGCATCAATAACCAAAGTAAACTTGTAAACTAAAAACACAACATAGTGAAAGAAAGCACAAAGAGTTCAGAACGCTAACGTTAAAGAGAAGTGACAAATAGAAAGCTTGGTCAAACGCCTGAGAGCAGCAATCTCAGTCAAAATAGGAAAAGCAGAAGGTCTGGGAGGAACTTTGGAAAGCTCAAGCTCCTTCAAACCCTCCAGCTCGTGCAAGTTCAACCCACCAATCCCGGGCGAAGATATCTTCATCTGCAAGCACTCCAACTCCGTCAAGTTCCCAAACTCTGGGGAAAACAAGTTTATCTCGTTTCCGAAGAACTTCAATGTTTTCAACCGCGCAAGGATACCCATCGACTTGGGAATCAAACTGTAAACATTCTTGTATAGATACAAACTCTCCACGGAGGCTTCTGCATCCTCCGGCGCCGGAAACTCCAAGCTCTTTCCCGACACGTCCAGAGCCACGCCTTCATCGATTTTATCGATTTCAGGGTTCAAAGATTCGCTCGGGGTCTTCTTTTCTTCGGATTTCTCGGGAAAGTCTCGAATTTCCGACGCGGTTTCCTCGGAGCGAAGAAGCTGCATTGGCTCCGATGGTTGAACTCGGCCAAGTTTGCAAATTGTTGGGAGTTGCTAAAGAAAAGGTGGGGGTTTTTTGGGAGAAGGGGGACGGGGGAAATCGGATAGTGAAGAATAAAACGGTGTTTGGGGAGCAAGAAAATTTCGGAAGAATGAGGGAAAATTGGTGAGATTTGAGGGGAAAGAGAAACCCTAAAATCTAGATGCAGCAGTTGCAGTGAAATTGAAATTTTGGATACCTCGGCGAGTGATTTGGGGCAGTCGCGAATCGAAACGTTGATTCCAAGCGCTGCCCGAAAAGACGATAATAGCCCCCTCTTTGCCGTTAATTAATAGGTTTGGCAGTCACAGTCAAAAGGGGCTGCGGGACTGAACCAGAAAGGGGAATTCGGTGTTCAATGGCTTGAATAATATATTATTCTTCCCGTTAAACTAAAACTTAAAATTGTGCGTCCACAAAATCCAATGTCCTGACCACTAGAGCATGAGACTTTATTAAAGAGGGTGATAATATCTGTTTGATTTTCATAATATTATTTTTGAAAAAGATTTAAAATTTTAATATATCAAACAAAATTTACCTTTGATGAAGGACAATATGTGTTCTGTCCTTGAGACAGAGAATGTATCTACGAGGGAAATACCCTTAAGTCAAGCAGATCATTGTGCACAAAATACTATAACGGCGTTAGCCAATGGGGTGTGTGCACAGTGACAACATAACAATAAGAGAGAGAATGTGTGTACCTGTAGGTAATGTGGATGGGCCTTTGGTTTCTACAACGAGGGTCCAGCCCTTATAGCTATGCTGTTACATTAAGATTAGTATGATTGATTAACATCAATCCATATCTTAGATTGCCCCTTGTTGGACTTGCTACTTAATAAGCCATTATACGAGTCCGTAACAATATGATTTATAAAAAATATGTGTACACATGCTTTATTTGTGAAAGATAGGTAGGTCATTTATCTTTTATTAAATTCCTATATCCTGAAATCCATAAGTTAGTATATAATTTGGATATGGAATAAAAATGAAGGGAATAACATCTGTCATTTTAAATGATATAAGCTTATATCATTTTATATCCTAATCGTTGATTTTCGCCCATCAACAGTTATAATTTATTGGATCAAAATTATTAATTAATTAATAATAAATTTGGCCCATTAAGATTGACCCAATAAATTATAACCGTTGATAGACGAAAATCAACGGTTAGTATCTAAAATGATATAAACTTATATCCTTTAAAAGGATAGATGTTTTTTCCAAAAAGGGAATAACATCTGTCATTTTAAATGATATAAGCTTATATCATTTTAGATCCTAACCGTTGATTTTCGCCCATCAACAGTTATAATTTATTGGATCAAAATTAATAACTAATTAATAATAAATTTGGCCCATTAAATTTGACCCAATAAATTGTAACAGTTGATGGACGGAAATCAACGGTTAAGATATAAAATAATATAAACTTATGGAAAAAAACATCTATCCTTTTAAAGAATATAAGTTTATATCATTTTAGATCCTAACCGTTGATTTCCGTCCATCAACGGTTATAATTTATTGGGTCAGACTGAATGGGCCAAATTTATTATTAATTAATTAATAACTTTGATCCAATAAATTATAATTGTTGATGGACGAAAATCAACGGTAAGGATCTAAAATGATATAAGCTTATATATCATTTAAAATGACAGATGTTATTTCCTTTTTGGAAAAAACATCTATCCTTTTAAAGGATATAAGTTTATATCGTTTTAGATACTAACCGTTGATTTCCGTCCATCAACGGTTATAATTTATTGGGTCAAACTTAATGGGCCGAATTTATTATTAATTATTTAATATTTTTTATCTAATAAATTATAACCGTTGATGGGCGAAAATCAACGGTTAGGATCTAAAATGATATAAGCTTATATCATTTAAAATGACAGATGTTATTCCCTTTTTGAAAAAAAACATCTATCCTTTTAAAGGATATAAGTTTATATCATTTTAGATCCTAACCGTTGATTTTCGTCCATAAACGGTTATAATTTATTGGGTCAAACATAATGGGCCAAATTTATTATTAATTAATTAATAATTTTGATCTAATAAATTATAAATGTTGATGGGAGAAAATCAACGGTTAGGATCTAAAATGATATAAACTTATATCCTTTAAAATGATAGATTTTTTTCCAATTGATCCAATAAATTATAACCGTTGATGGACAGAAATCAACGGTTAGGATCTAAAATGATATAAGCTTATATCACTTAAAATGACAGATGTTATTCCCTTAGTTTTTATTTAAAATTATTTAAAAATTTGAAAATCACAACTTAAAAACATATTAAAATACATAAAAAATTAAAAAAAAAGTATATCTTCACTAAATACAAATTTTAAAATTTTGTTTCAAAATATTGGTAGTTGTTGCTAGTGATAGTGATTCATGATGGTGGTGGCTGATTGAAATGGCGATGACAAGTTGTGATGGCATCCATGATTATCAATTATAATTGTGGTGGTTAACTGAGGATGAAGGTGGTGGTGGCAGTGAAGGTTTGTGGCGATGGCCTAAGGAGGTGATTGGTTGGTTGGTGGTGGCAAAGACCAATTGTGACAACGATGATAGTGGTCGTTGGCTGGGGCCGAGACAGTACCAATGATGATTGGTGGCAATTGTAGGGGCAGCGGTGGTGGTGGTGGTGGTTGGTGTTTGGTGATAGCTGATGACGATGGTGCTAGCTGATAGCACATGGTGATGGCCAATGGCCCGCAGTGGCTAGCTAATGGCTGATGGTAGTGTTAATGGATGGTAGAGGTGGTCAATGGCCCATGGTGGCAATAATTGACCCTTGTATACTTGACGGTGATTGTTTATTTTTGTTTAATTTAGAATGTTTAAAGCCATTAATTTGAATCAATTTTAACGATGGGAAAAATGTAATAAGGGTAAGAATATTAAAGTGATACGCAATATAATAAACCTAAACTTCAATTTTAACGATTGTTAAGTAAAGATATGAAAACTAACAAAGGTATTTTTGCACATAGAGACTGGAGATAAAGGAGAGTACTAGAAAAAAACAAATTAACAATATATATACCTCGATAATTATACTTTGCCTCTCTTGAGATGATATTAAAGGTTTTATTACAATGTGTGGTAGAGTACAAGCTCTCATTGATCAAGATTGGACAGTGACCCTAAAGCATATTCCTAGAGTTGCTAATGGGTGTGCTGATTGGCTTGCTAAGTCTTTGTAGGAAATCTTAGATTTATGCGGAAGCGGTTTAGGACCTAGTACATTGGTATGCTTACCGAATCATCCTTGTTTCACAATTACCTCTCGGTGCGCAGGTCTCGTGTAGAATCTTCCCTCGTAGGATTCCTCTTCACGAACAACTCACCTTAGCGCCGCAACACGAACAACCTCCTTGAAGCTGGACTGTGGCAGATCTTTCAAACTATCTCTCGAGGAGGAAGGGGAAGTGTGTGGGCACTAATTAGATTCTGAGCTTGCCTCTTTCTCACAAAAAGACCTAGGAGGCTGATAACTTAAGAGGTACTATTTATATGGGTTCCAAGAAACTCTAGCTCATTGGGCTCTAGGTTCCTTGGGCTCTTCTCATACTAATAACCCATTTGGGCTTTAATAAAAGAGCAAACCCAACATTCTCCCACTTGCTCTTTTGGATACAAACTTGAGTCGTAAAACCCAAGATCATGTAACCCATAAGTCATCATCTATCCGAAAAATAACCCATCCCTCGTCTCAAGCTAGCTTGGGGATCTACCATCTGTTATTAATCAAGGCTCCTGATAATCAACGAATGATTATCTAATTCGGTGCTACTTCACTAAAAGCCCGAAATTGAACTCCAAGATTAACAACACTTATAACATGAATATGCATCGCCCCTTTGTAAAATGTCTATAATTGATTGACAAGTTTTCTGTAACTCAATCAATTATTTATTCCCTTGTCTATAATTGATTAACAACACTTATAACATGATAGTTTCTCTGATGGATTACATGCACTGGCCAGTGTCTTTAATATCCAAGTACCGAAACATATCAAGGGGACATATCCTACAAATTCCACGTTGTTTATCTTATAAATACCGATAATCAAATAATCTCACTCCCAAGTTATGTTACACCCATGTGACACCCAGTCAATCTCACCGTTAGATCGCTTATGTTGATCCAACGGTTATATTTATTTTCATCTTTGTATGGTCATGATTTCCCAAATTTAATATTTTATATTTATTTCTACCTTTATATTCATGTTATACCTTACTAATTATATAAGGTTTTGTCTCTCTTTGGCAATAAATTATTATATTACTTGATTCTAATCATGTTGATGATTATCGATTAAGTTAGGAAAAATATTGAGTCTCATGTGTTGGGTTGGCATGAGCTAATGCACATTCCGATTTAGGAAAAACTTATTTATTATTTTTCGTGCAAGTATCTTGTTGGGCTTCAATCAAAATTAGACTCTCAACCAAAAACTACAAAAAAATTAAAACTCTCAATCTTATGAATTAAGAATAATAAAGTTTTAAATTTTTTTTATAGTTATTAGTTTCATGTTTAGCATTTAGATTGACTTGTATTTGATGAATTAAATATATAAAATATCAATTTTTTATGTGGATCAAAGCTTGCCAGACTTTAATGATTTAATCTATCATAGTTGATTAGGATAAGATGGTTACACACGAGATCGATCAATCACAACTGTAAGTGAGTAATCAAGGGAGTAATCAAGGAAATAATCAAGGGAGTAATCAAGGGAGTAATCAACCGCAATCAAATCAGCCGGTTATGATTGATAATCAATCAAATTCCCGTTACGCTGCTTTAATGGGCTCTAATGAAGATGATATTACTCATGATATCCCAGCGACTAATCCGGATGCTGTTATAAATGACGTCAATATGGTGGGCCCTCCTGTTAATATTGATATTAGTACATCTCAAGGGTCCAAACACAGAAACCCTAGAAGCCGTCCTAATGTTGAATTACAGGAACACCCCAACCGATTTACGTTAAGTGGGATTACGACATGTCATGAAAAAAAGAATCAAATACATGGGAAGATAGTTGACAGAGGTACCTCAAACAATAATACAACGAACTCGAGGAGGCAAGTTGCGATTCATAATAGTAAGGACATTGGAGGTAAAAGCGGTGGAGATTCCATGGTGGCTAGGAGTACTGTTGCTGA